CTCCTTTGGAACAGCATCCACTCCATAATTTGTGAGACCTAGTGCCACAGACAAATATGGGGCTGTGGGTTCCAAATCTATTTCAGCTTCAAGACGGTGACAGCATTAAACTAAGCATGAAGCCTGTCTAAACCTGTGAAAGAGCCCAGGAAGCTGGCCATCAAGAAAGCCTGAAGTCTAAGTATAATATTTAACTGTAGAGAGAGTTGTTGTTCATCTCAGTTTATGAAAAACTTTGAATGGTACCTGTTACATATATATCTCCTGTGTCATTAAGAGCACCATTAGAATCAGAGGTATGTGTCACAAGTTCTGGATGACAAATCTTTTTAGTTCAATGATGCTTGAGAATATACTTCCTGTACAACTCTGATGTATCTCTCTGGCTTTCTCAGATACTATGTAAAACAAATGAAAAGCAGCTCGACCTCCACTACTTCCCCTTTTAGGCCCTTAGTGTCAGTGATGCTAAAACTACACTTAAGCCACGACACAAAAACGGGCTTCCTTCAAGAATTATTCTTTTTTAATTTATTTATTTAATTGGTAGATGTGAAAAACATTACCATTGAAATCTACCTGATGACTTTATATCCATGCTCAGATGCTAAGGAGCTCAGAAAGTAATCGACTGTGACTAGTAATAATCAGATATATAGAGATTAGAAATGCATATGCATCTTAGTGTCAGTTGTATGAAAAATGAATTTTTCTGTATGAAACTATTTTAATAATGAAATGGAGATCTTTTTCAAAGTTTAAAACCTCATTTAATTTTATGTCTTATAGGGTTTATACGGAGTACAATATTGTATAACTGTATTAATTCAACTGTAAACCTAATAATTTACAGCCAATTTTGAAAGAGAAGCATCTTAGCTCTAGAAATTGTTATTGAATATGTCAATGCTGTGGTAATGAAATGCCCCTTCTAATCATTTGGTTATTAATTAAATAATTAAAAACTAATAATAATAATTAGTAGATGTGAAAAACATTACCATTGAAATCTACCCGATGACTTTATATCCATGCTCAGATGCC